CAGACCTCAACCCACCCTGTTCTTTTACCAGCTTCTTGACTGCCACAGGAAAGAATTAAAGGGCAGAGTCACAGCAGAAAGTGAGAACAGAATTAATGTAACAAAGAAGAGATACAGGAGAGTTTGGCCTAGCTCTAGGGACCAAGCAGGGCCCGTACCAAGTTTAATACAGAAGTAAGAAATACATATTGAAAATTTAGCACAAAGTTCAGGCTGGCTCCAGAGAATGAGCAGCTGCTTGCTGAAAATAAGTTTAATACAAAAAGGAAGCACACACACCACAGCCAGTGAAGTACAGGTTGGCCCCAGGAAAGTGAGTGACAACCTGCCTTCTGGTGGGATTCAACTTTTATAGTTTTGTTACCTAATACATATTCATGATATATAATGAATATGCAGCTAAGGGGGTGGTTCCCAGTTATGTAACATTTTCTTGTATATGCTCAATTGGTCTCTTTTTAGGGCATGTTCATTGGTCAGATTCTATCACATGCACTGAACATATTCAAGAATATTCCATGCTCTTTAGCATCTCTAGTAGAAAGTCATTCAAAGGGTAAACTCCACTTTACTGAGCATGCTCAGCTACTAAGGTTACATAACCCCTCTCTACTGAGAATGCCCAGCCACTGGATTTGCATAAGTCAGCCCCCTGAAGTCACAGTTTTCCCATGATGATGCTAAAATTAGGTCCTACAAGCCACAATAACTCTCCTGTAGGGGAAGGCCTAGAGGAAGGGCCTGAGACCTCAGGAAGTGGCTTGAAATTCAGAGGTGTGTCCTAAAACCTGAGCCCGTGGAAACTGAGCACCTTCTATCTCACTCTTCTATGTCAAGTAGATTCAAGAGAAACAAAGTTAGAGGCAGGGAGACCAACAAGCAGGCTGTTGTATTGAACCAGGTAGGTGATGTTAGTGTCCTGCAGTGGTAACAAAGTAAAAGATTAAAGAAACAGAGACCTGACAGTTCTTGGTGACTGGTTAGAAGTTGGCATGGATGGAGGTAAGGAAGGTAACATGGACAACTCTGTCGGCCCTGATAACCGAATGAAGAGTTGTGTGCATCACTGTGATGGGAACATAGGACCTTTGGTAGGGGTGGGGGTGTGGTGAAGTTCAAGGATACTGGGTTCAGCTTTAAACATACTGGGTTTGAAATGCCTGGAGGATATGCAAATAGAGGTGTCATTAGGCAGCAAGATCTTTGGCTCTGAAACTCAGTAGAGAAGGTTGAGCTGCAGATATGGATTTGAAAATTATTAGTAAAGGGATAATGATTGAAACCACAGAGATAGATAAATTTACCCTCTGGGGCAGAGTGAGGAAAAAGTTTATCAGATGTAACCCTGAAGAACTCAACTAGTTTATTAGGAAGCTGAGCAATAGAAATCTTTGAAAGAACTGAAAACATGCAGCCATGGAGAGGGCAGGGAAACCAGGAGAGAGCATAGAGGTGGTTTCTGCCCAAAAAGTTCTGTGAGACGGGGACTTAAGAAGCATCCATTAGCTTTAGAAATAAGGAGGTTGCTGCTCTCCTTGTTGAAGGCAGTTTCAAGAATGTTGAAGAGTAGGTGGGAAGCAAGGAAAGAGAAAGCAAGCATAGGCAAGTTCTCCCTGGGTCTCAGTTCCCTGTCCACATTGAGGTATATGGAATACCCCAAAGTTCCACATCAGCTGCTGCTGGCCTGCATTCTAATGCAAGCATGTTTTTGTTTGGCCAGTGAAAAATTCAAAATACATTTCTACATGGCTGGTTACAGTTACATAGAACCTTTTGCAAATACTTTGCAACAGATTAAAGATTATGTCATACCTAGTTTTTACCTTGTGAGCTTGGTATGTGTTCCAGTACTGTCTTGACACACAATCTACATGAATTCTGATAAGGAATAACAACCGTTATGAAGAATGCTACTATATTTGATACCACTTGATGTGTCTTCTTAAGACTCTGCTGCTGAGTATAATTTAAGATCCAGATGGCAAGGATACTGTTAAAGTAATCTATGTTTTCAAAGGGTTGTGGTTATTGAGACAGAAGTCTGCTTTAGTATTTCCCACTGGCGGTTCTGTTGGTGTGATGCACACATGACTACAGGAACAATTTCACTTGGACAGTGTTTGGAGATCTGCCCTTGTAGTGGTGACCATTGAATGTGTTGCTATGGATTCAGCCGTATACAGCCTTGGGTGTTCATTGGGCTCTCTGCCCTCTGGTGGCCTTGTTTCATCCGTTTGATGGTGTGGCTTCCTCTTTTTGGGAAACCTGATCCCTACAAAGGGGATCTTCAATGTGCTTTGAGATTTCACAGTGAGTCCTTGGCAGAATAGATAAGCTTAGGTTTTTAGAATTTAGCTCCTCCAGTTTCTGCCTTTTTCAGATTGTCTAAATCTATAAAAGGTTTTTCACTAAATAGTTTTTGCATAAACTTGTCTTTTCTAATTGCATACAATAAATGTTTTATTCTTCCAAATTCCCATACAAATCAAATACAAATGGACTGAAGAGTCCATATGATAAATGGGAAGACAAGAGGAGAGGTCTAGAAGTCACAGCCTATAATTTTCAGCTGTCAGAGCTAGGATCTCAGCCTCTCCTAAAACTTGTTGGAAACTGAGGCCCAGAGGGAAAAGGCAGCAGTCAGGACCACACAGCTAATGGGCAGCAGAGCCAGAGCTGGACGGGGTCTTAACTACACCCGGTGCTCTTCTGAGCAACGCTATCCTTCAACTCTGTGCCAAAAGTTTAACTATAAAATGCAATGACCGTTCTACCTAGCCTGTTTCTGTCCTTCACCTTAGCTTTATTTACTTTTGTATTTTCTCTTCTGGACTTCTCTTCTGCCATAAAAAACACTTTGTTTAAAATTTTTTCATTCTATAAGCCATACTCAGAAGTGCCATGTGATAAACAATTGGCAGCTTTGTAATTTGCCTTGATTAGATAGTAGTTATATCCCAGCTCTGTGATGTACCAAATATTTACAGATTAGCGAGTCTGCAGTGCTGCAAAGCTGTCTCATTTTATGGATCTGGGGCCTTTTACACTCTCTATTGTACTATAGAGCCTCATCCTCAGTAATGAGAGACCACCTGCTGTGTCCATGCTGACTCAGCTGAAGCAGTGGCTGGTAAGGGCCACAGTCAGTGGCACCTAGAGACCATCCAGCTCAATCCTGTAGAAATAGTTATTTCAAAGTTTAGTGAGAGAGACACTGACTTGTGTATTTTTCATGCAGATCTTATATGTTCTAACAAGAAGCCCTCATAATTCTCTGTCCCAAAGACCACTGTGAAGAGTGTCTGACCTGGAGGTTAAGAAACCTGAGCTCTAGCTCTGCTACCACCTCTCATAGTGTGTTTGTGGACAAGACACTTCTCAATGCCAGGCCTCATCTGTGAGATGGTTCGATGAGATGAGCCCTAGGGCCAGCTGTCCTGCAGTTCTCAGTTTCTTTTGTTACATGCCCTGACCTCTCCAATCTTCATCCTCTTCTCAGGTGTGCCAAGGACTAGGTGTCACGTGGTAAGATTCATGTTTATTCTGCAAGAGGTAGCACTATAGTTTTAAAGGATTAGTTTATATGCATAGTTTATCACCAAATCCCATCACCTGTTTAGAAGTGAATTTAAAGATAGATGGACACTTCACAAAAGAGGACAACCAAATAACCATAGTATACGAAAAGGTGCTCAACATCATTATTCAGTAAGGGTATGAAAGTTAAAACCTCACTGAAATGCAACTACACAGCCACTAGAATGCTAAAATGAAAAATCACAATACCAAGCCTTGGCTTGGACACAGAGCAACTGCCACTCGTATGCGTTGCTGGTGGAGTGCATCATGGTAAAACCATTTTGAAAAATTGTTTTGGAGTATCTTTTAAAGCTAAATATATGCTTACTTTATGACCCAGCAGTTCAACTCCTAGGTTTATATCCAGGAGACATGATTCTATATGTCCACATGAACGTATGTATGGGAACTTTCTTGGTAGCTTTATTCACAATAGCCCCATACAGAAAACAGCCCAAATGTCTATCAGCTGAAGAATGGGTAAACACATGTTGGTGTATCTGTATAATGGCATACTATGCAGCAAGAAAAAAAGAATGTGCTGCTCCACATAACGTGGGTAAATCTCTCAACATTATGATCAGAGAAAGAAACCAGACACAGAAAAATACGTACTGTGTGGTACCATTAACAATAAGTTTAAGAACAGGTAAAACTTGTTTAAGGTCATAGGTGTTAGAATACCAATGACTTCTGGACTGGGGAAGGGCACAGGTGTTGGTGACTATGTGGATATATTCATTTGTACAAATTCACTGAGCTGCACATGGACTTGTTCATTTTTTTGTTTGTAAGTTATGCCCAATAAAGACAATTGGGAAGAAAAGTGAATTTAAATAAACTTAAAACAAGCCTATGCATGGCACACCCAGGCGTGTCAATCTGTGTACTTGCTTATGTGCACTTGGTGTTTTAGGTCTAGGGACACAGGTGGCAGTGGGAGCACAGGACGTCCAAAGGAAATAGTCGTTTGCACTGCATTTGTTATAAGGTTTCTCTTGGATTCGCCCAGAGCCAGGGGGATGGGCTACTTCTGTGAGAAGCACAGCAATTCAAATTGTATAAAAACGAATCTGGGGGCCGGCCCAGTGGCGCACTGTAGAGTGCGCCACGAGGGTTCGGATCCCATGTGGAGACCAGTTCCCGCTCACTGGCTGAGCGCCGTGCGGGTGCAACACCGAGGGTTGCGATCCCGTTGCCGGTCCCCGGTACGAGGTGTTGGATCCCGTTGCCAGTCCCCGGTACGGGCGCGACACTGAGGGTTGCGATCCCGTTACTGGTCAGTAAAAAAGACAAAAAGAAAAAAAAATGAATCTGGGTCTCCCTCCTGTGCGAAACTCTGGTCCAAAGGCTTATTTTCAAATAAAAATTCGACTTTTAGATGGAATCTAATAGAAAGTCTGATGGGCTTTTATCCCCAGGGGTGGCTGCTAGAGAAACAGCCCAAGCTCTGAAAACGCTGGCCCAGGCTGCCCGTGGAGTGGCTGCATCTACGAGTGACCCCGCGGCTGCCCACGCTATGTTAGATTCTGCTCGCGATGTGATGGAGGGCTCCGCCATGCTAATTCAAGAAGCCAAGCAGGCCCTGATTGCGCCTGGGGATGCAGAGAGTCAACAGAGACTAGCTCAGGTGAAGCTCTGAATTGGGAATTGTGGTCTGCATTAACGTGGGCGTGTTTGGCAGGCTGTCCCCTGGGCACTCTTTCCTGCTGTGAACGCTGACTCAGCGGGTGTTTTCAGAACCCACCAAAGTGTCCTAACAGTGCTGGCCATGCATGGTGCCCATTATTATGAGTCTGGCCTAGTATTCCTCACATTAATGTAAGAGCTGCTTCATCCACAGTCCAAAGAGAGTATGGGGGGCTTTAAACTCTGTCCATAGAAGGTTAGGAGCCAGGACATAACCTGTTTGTTTTAGGCCTCTGTATGATTAACTATATTCCTCTTCCTAGCCGTGGAAGTGAAGTAAATATACTAGTCTAGCCACTCAAAAGTTTTTAACACTCTCTACTACTTTTTTGGATGATTCTTCAGCCATGTGATGAAACCGGTTTGCTAGGGACCATCCAGGCAAACTTCTAGACATGGCTCTGGGAAGGAGATGGTTTACATGAAAGGGAGTGACACAGGCCCACCTCCAAAGAGCTTCCTTACATTAACTGAGGATACCAAAGAGTACAAACAGGGAGCCACTTAGAGTTTCTTAAAAAGCAGTGTGTCAACACCTCCAGGTTGGTCTGGAAGTGCTCAGAGTGTCCCACTTACCCATGGGCAGGGTGAGGTTTGGGGATGATGGCACCAGAGGGTCGCTGAGCAGAAAGTAACCACAGGCCTTGATAACTGTGATCCAAAGAACTCAAGGCCTCCTCCCACCTCTGACCTCAGCAGGACTCTCAAGAAGGGGGATAGTTCATGTCTCTTGATACAGGGTATCTTTGTTTTAGAACCTGACCTCATATTGGAAGTTCTGTGTTTGAATCACAGAGCAGTGAGTGAGCCTGGCTTTGGGGAGCCTGGGATGTGCTGTATCACTTGTGTCAGACTCTTTGCTAAGATGGGATATTAACCCCAGTGAGAGGGTGGAAGTTTCCCCTTGGACAAGAGGTCTGGATGAGGTGATTTAATATAGTAAACAGTGTCAGACAGACAATTTCATATCTGTTTCAGCTCTGCATGTTGTCACTGCCCATTCCCAGCAAATGTGCAAAAGTGTTTGCATTGAAAGCTGCTTTCTTATGGCACTTCTGTCCCTCCATGTATTCAATTCAGGTGGCCAAAGCCGTGTCTCACTCCTTGAATAACTGTGTGAATTGCCTCCCTGGGCAGAAGGATGTGGACGTGGCCTTGAAGAGCATCGGGGAGTCCAGCAAGAAGTTGCTTGTAGATTCGGTGAGAGGTTCTTGGATTGGGAAGGGGCACTTGGGGGACCAGGTTCACTCTTAGGTGTGAGAGGAGTCTCCTCCCTTCCATGGGATCTCTGAGCAGCCAACCTTTCCTTTAAGAGCACTGTTTTTCCTACCAATTTTCCTTTTCCTTATTTTGCTTTCTGGTCAGCAGAGTTCCCAGGTGGAGCTTTTAAAGTTTACTACTTCTTTGAGCCCATGTTGCTGTCTGCTCTCGGGTCAGCCCAGTAAGACAGAAAAGGGGGTACGTGATCACCTGGGGTGATCATCAGGACATCTCAGATAGTGACAGTCAGCCAATGGAGGGATGCATGTGTCCAAGTTGTTGCTGTCTGCTCTCGGGTCAGCCCAGTAAGACAGAAAAGGGGGTACGTGATCACCTGGTGATCATCAGGACATCTCAGATAGTGACAGTCAGCCAATGGAGGGATGCATGTGTCCAAGACTCACTGAGAGAGCAAGTAGTCTGAGGAATTTCACTTGGGACCTGCCCTCTTCCCTGCCGTGAGTCCTCACAAGGAGGGTTTGTGCTCGTTCACCCTGTCTGCTCTCTGCACAGGTACACAGGCAACGCATGTGGGTGAGTGATACAGACCGCTTAACTCTCTGGAACTTTTCACAAACAGTTATAGTTCTGCTAAAGACACTTGTGTTCTGTAAAAAGTTATTGTTAGCAAAGACCTAATAAAATAGGTGGCTATTAGTTTAGAAGAACATGTTTGATAGCATCTTGCCTTTTAGTTCTAGAACACTGAAAGGTTGAGAGTTTCTATCTTCAGAGAGAAAACTTAGGGTGGTGGTTCAGAGAGTGGGAGATGGACTCAGCTTAGCTGGGTGCGAATCCTGCCTGTGCCACTTAGGAGAGCGTGAGCCCCTTCGGGTAGTTGTTCTATTTTTAGATCCATAGTGGCTACCACTAAGTAAGTGTTCAATAAATTAAACTAAATGAACAAACGTACAAGGGTATTTCAAAAAGTTCATGGAAAGATTTGTTTTTCAATTCTGTTTTTCCATGAACTTGTTGAACTACTTTCATATATATGTTGAAAGTCAGACTTAACATGGACTCATATCACACACAGCCTTTTCGTCTTGATGACTCAGAAGTACATTCCTGGAGAGTCTTTCTTCCCTCCACTGTACCTTTCTTTACCTTCCTGTGCAAAGTAAAGCCTCATGGGGTGTGCCCTCTGTTCCCCACAGCTACCTCCAAGCACAAAGCCTTTCCAGGAAGCCCAGAGTGAACTTAACCAGGCAGCAGCTGATCTGAACCAGTCTGCTGGGGAAGTCGTCCATGCCACCCGGGGGCAGAGTGGAGAGCTGGCTGCAGCCTCTGGAAAGTTCAGTGATGATTTTGATGAGTTCCTTGATGCTGGCATTGAGATGGCGGGCCAAGCACAGGTGGGTGTGGCGGTGGCTGCCTGGATTTGACCTTGGCCTATCTACTCTGATGGACTCTCCAATCTTGAGGCTGATTGAGCAAATAGGAATAGGGAACCTATAAACAGACCACAGCTGCATTCTTTTTGCTGCTTAGGAAGCTCCTTGACCTCACAGGAATGGGATTTTCAAAGATGCTCTCAGCATATGTGTGAAGTGCTCTTGGTGATGAATGGTAACTTTCCCCACCATCCTCCAGAATCATCGTTTTACTTTATGCTATTTGGAGGGAGGGGAGGAGGAGGGAGACCATTTAGTAGAGATTAAGAGAGCTCTTTGAATGTCAGATAATAAATAGTAGAAAAAAAAAGTATTTGAGGTTTAGCGGGCCCGTTTGAATGGACTGTGTCTAATACTGAGTGTCAAATGATTAAAAACTACCTCCTTCAGATGAATAGAGATTAAGAGAGCTCTTTGAATGTCAGATAATAAATAGTAGAAAAAAAAAGTATTTGAGGTTTAGCGGGCCCATTTGAATGGACTGTGTCTAATACTGAGTGTCAAATGATTAAAAACTACCTCCTTCAGATGAACAGATAAACCCCTTGTTTAGAACAAGGGAGCATGACTGGTCTGGTGTCAGCTGGCACAGCTGTTTTTTTCTGAGCTCCTGTGAACTTCCTAAAAGAGATATCTGGGTGTTCCTTACTATTTCTCAGATGGCAAGGCAGGTGAGAAATGTGTCCTTTCCTGCATCAGGAACGTCTGGGATGCAGCATCTCTGACTGTCGAAACAGTGCGGGCCGTTTGTGCCAGGCTGAGATGTACAGGCTCCTTGACAACTCCAGCATTGTTGAGCAAGATGCTGGGATTGTCGCCTGGTCTGCGCATTGGTGCAGCTCGCTCCTCCCCCTCCCCCTCTAATGCCTCCACTTGTTAGAAATCTCAGCTCTTGGCTGAACACTTGGGGATGTGTGCATCCCTGCTAGGTGCATCTTGGTTTGGGCATTTGTTTGGGGAAGAGTGGACCCTGGTCAGCATCTCAAGGAGTTAGACATCTGCAGACTAACTGGGTTTAATGTGATCTATGCAGAAAACTTGCCTGTATTTCAGGATGCTGCTTCTAGCTCTCTGAATGCTTCCTAGGAGAAATGGGTGGTCCCTAATTACTCTGGCTCCTTTTGACCTTCCAGACAAAAGAAGACCAGATACAAGTGATAGGGAACCTCAAGAATATCTCTATGGCTTCCAGCAAGCTGTTGTTAGCTGCCAAGTCTCTCTCTGTAGATCCAGGAGCTCCCAATGCGAAAAATCTCCTGGCTGCAGCTGCAAGGTAAGAGTGAGACAGTAGGGGGTTCTGTGTGTGGTTAAATAATGTCAGGCTGTGCCTGATGTCCTGCTACTTTTACTGAGCAAAGAATTGGTGCTGCCCTTAGGTCTTTGGAAGTCAAGTCGGACGTGATGGAGACTCTGGTATTTTATAAAATTGGCTCATTTCCATATTTCCTCACTAAAAAATGTTTTGTCTTCTCATTATGTCTTTTCAATAGGGATTTGCTTAGACTTAAAGCCCCCACTGACTAGGAAACAATATTTTAAATAGATTTTTTAAAGTTGTGTTCTACCTTTTAGATTATGAAAGTAATATATGCTTGTTGAGAAATAAATCAGAAAATACTGAAAAGTATAAAGCAACACTGCACTTGTCGTTCAAAAGACATTGAGTGTTGATGTGCCTGACATCGGTGTTAGATTGAATTTAACATGTATCCATCACATCTCCAGTTTAGGATGAATAGGGTGGCCACGGGAATAAACTGTTTTGGAAGTATATTACAACATGAATCCGAGTTTCGGATGATTTCAGTGCCCTTCTTTCCCATTGCTTTCACCCAGGGAGGTAGGTAATACAATACAATTTCTGCCCCAGGGCCACCATGGCACTTCAGTTCGGTAACTAGTGATTGAACGCTGGTGTGTGAACTGGGATTGTGATATAAGATCTTCCTGGGCAGCCCACTTTATATATGAAGTTCCCACTTCATTTTCCTGAACCCAGAGGGTGGGGGTATTTTATGATTCTGTGGTGGTGCAGGAATGTTTTCTTAGCATTATTTGACATCACGTTACATATAGGAAAGCTGGCAACAGAGAGCGATTAAATGCAGGACTATTAGGGGATATAGAGTAATTGGAACCTTTCAAAATGTGCAGATAAGTAATTTTTGAAAAACATAGCTTCAATTCTGCTTTTTTTCCTTAAACAAAAACTTGGCTTTGTTTTTCCATGTCTTTATGTCTCCCCTGGGAGCTCAATGGCTGTTTTTTAAGTTGTCAGAGTCAGGAGACCTGAATTCTAGCCCCAGCTTAATCCTGTTGGTCAGAATGTACCACCTGTCTGAACCCTCCCATCTGGGGTTGTGCAAAATGGGGGTGTGAACTACATCATCTTTAGGCTCTTTCCCACTCTTAGTACATAAGATCTCTTGGTGCTAGTGGTTAAAACCCATCTCTCATCTCCTCTTGGCTTACAGCATTATTTTTTGTGAATGGTTAGACAGTGTCAGAGCAGTTTCCTTACAAACCCTTGAGTTTCTTCATTTATTCCCAGATAATATATTTTAGCTGCAAACAACAGCTAGAGCCACTAGGGGATTGGAAAATTATCTTCACATCTCCCCACGTCTATTTTATGCTTTATTTGTGATTATTCCAGTAAACACCATCCCTTGATGGTGGGAGAGGTTGGAGATGGGGGGGGTGGGGGTGGGGGTGATGTCTAGTCAGTTAAGCAGCTGTTTCTCATATAAACCTTCCTCTCAATTGCTACTTTTTTCCTACAAAAAGCCTTTGAATAAGGCAACTGACATTTCCGGGTATCCGAACTCAGATGTTTTTCATTATCTTCAATTTTTTGCATCATTTCAGAATTAGTTTCCAACTTGGAACGTGTTGTTCACTCTCTTAAGTTGTGGGAAGAAGGGGGGAGTATAAATTGGCCTTTTGAAGGCCAGATACAGAAAGAAACACAGACCGCAAAGGAATGTTGCTGATGTGTGGCTCTGTGGGTATCTGCAGGCCCCCTGGTGGTGGCATTGAGGAAAGAACCTGAAGAGCAGGCAAAAAAGCTTTCTGTACCTCTGTTCTGGCTTTCAGCAGTTGACAGGGAGTTCCCAGCCTGATGGTTTTATAGACAAGTAAGTACTTAAAAATCATCATGTGAAAATATTGTCTCGGGATGGAACTGTTGCAGGAAGGTGCTAGCACATTCTCCTTGCTTCTTGGCATATTTTGGCAAGCTTCTGCTCCCTGGGTTTGTTCCCCAGCAGAAATTCCAGCCAGGTCTAATGCGTCAGGCAGGCTCCTCTTGGGATGCAAAGCTCTGCCAGGCTGGGGTTCATTTGTTCATTCTCCTGTTCATTCATGTGTTCATTACACAGATCATTATCTCAGGCCTGATATGGGTGAGGCCCAGCGCTGGGTGCTGGGTGCACACTGTGAATGAGACAGGAATGTGGCCCTGCTGGAGTCAGACAGGACACACACTGTATGCACCCACATGTTTCATGTGGGTCTTAAACGGTCCTTTGTGTAAGGGCACAGGAAGGTGAACGGCAGGGATCTGATCATCATTGTCTTCAATCTTCAGTTCCACTGTCCTCCCTGTTGTTGAGACAGCCAAGCTCTGCCGGTCCTTCACGTGCATGTCCCCAAAGGCCCCAGGGATGCCACTGCTGTGACGCAGGCCTGGACCAGCTTGGCCCTGTCCTACTCCTCTGTCAGCAGTCTTGAGCCCTTGTTCTTTGTGTTGTATGTGGTCTTTCCTGCTCAGGGAAGTAGAGAATGTCTTTTGCCTCTGTTCTTCATTCTGCCTCTGAGCCCAGTCCCTTGGTTTCAGATGTCTGCGGGGAGAAGGTCATTTCCTGTGTAGTGTCCAGCTTCTTCATCTGCTTCTCATGTAATTTGTTGGGCTCTGGCTGTTTTCTGACAAGTTGGGTGGAGCTGGAGACCCTTGGTCAACCATTCATCAACTTTTCCCCAGCTAGTGACTGGTCCAGTGCTCCCTGAACTTAGTCAAGGAAATGGAAAACCAGCTAGCCCTTGCAAAAAGGAGGGCTGTTCTCCCTCTAAGCCCCTTCCCTGAACTGCTGCTCAGACCACAGCCACCCTGGCCAGAAAGACTCCAAAGATGCGAAGCTTTGCGCCTGCAGCTGCCAGCGTCAAACCCACCCCCCGGCCAGGTTCTCAGTTGTTTTCCGGTCCTCTGAGGGTACTCCCTAGGAACTTGCAGGTAGCCCCTGCCCCCCGGCACCCCTTGGGTTTGAGATTTCTGCCAGGCAGGCTTCCTCTTGTCTCCAGAGACTGCAGAAAAGGAAGATCTAGCAAACAGCACGAAGGGGAAGAGCGCCTCTACTCTAGTAAACAGAAGAATCACAATGGGGCGATTGCTCTCTCTATTCTCATCTAGAATGTTGTCTTCCCTTTATCCAAATCAGCATCTCAGCCCTCACTTTCCAATGGCTTCAGTCTACATCGAGCACTGCCTTTCATATAGACATCGTGCCCCAGGGTTGAGGCTTTAATTTTCTTCTGTGCTCCCTGTGAGTGCCGCATTTATCTGGCCTACAGTTAGCACTGTGTCATGTCCTAGCTGCTGTCATGCTCTGATCACTTCTTTTCTTCAGCTCCACTTTATTGTGTCTTGTCCTTTTTCATCGGCTTGCCACTCCAACTAGATTGCAAGCACCTTGCTGCCCTAGGGAGATTTAAGCTATATTATTTTTTAATCCCCGTGCCTGTGCATAACAGGATGCAGGGAACACTTACCGGTAGGTTTGATTTGCTCTTTTCTCCCTTCCTAAGCACCTGGTCCCTCGAGGAAGGGAAATGTCTTATGCTGCTTTTTCCCCTCCAAGCTCTTATCAGGTGATTTGTGCTTAACAGGAAATCAAAGGTACAAATCGGTTGGTTTTCCTCTCTCACCCCCTCCCAATGCCATACCTATTTAAAATTTCCAGCCACAGCTCACAGACTTCAGTTGAATTGATTCAGTATCTCTGAACACTAAATGGTTTTGAGTTTAGAAAGCACTTTTTAACTTCTGAGGTTGCAGATCTCAATTTTTAAAAAACAGAGTGGCTAGATATGCCTAGACAAAGAATAAAATACAAGGAAACATTATCTCTAGATGGTAGGGATTATGGTTTTTAACTTTTATGTATTTTTTAAAAACAAACTTATATAGCTTTAAGCATTAAAAAGATTGTGGAAAAAATAAAAGTAACTGTAGTTCACACCTATTTGGATTTACATAGAACAGAGACCCTGCTAATTTGGGGCATATTTTTTATGATGTAATAAATTGATTAATTCACAATTTTTTTAGATTTATTGAAATTAAAAAATAACAAAATCACTGTTAATCTTTTTAAATGTATCATCCCATCATTTTTCTATATATACATATATGTTTATTTTTACAGTGGTGGGTTCATACTGTATATGCTATTTTGTAAATCTTATTTTACTTAATCATGTATCACGAATATTCTTTTATGACATTAGTAATATGCTACCACTACGACCTTCAATGGGTGCCCTGAATTCTGTTGTGGGCCGCATGTTTATTTAACCTATCCTTTATTGTTGCATATTTGGGTTGCCTCCAATTCTTTGCTCTTATAAATAACTGCTGTAGTTTGAAATATGAAAATATTATTTTTCATTGCCAAATTTACATAACCATTTGCCTCTGGACCACTTAGTTTATTATTTGCCTATGTAATCCAGTCTCTAAAATAAGTCATGGGGATTAACGATACCTAAATAATGCTACTTAGTCATGGATATCAGTATTGCCCAAGTGACTCATTTAGACATGCGATGCTGCTCTGGCACTTTTACAGATGATCCAACCACAAACCCGTAATCTGTTTGTTTGTTTTTTAATCCCAAATTCTTATTTGAAAAATTCTCACATCTACAAAAAAGTCAAAAGAATAGCAAAGCTGGCAGCTTTCCCACTGCTGTATATCCTCTGGATTCACCGATTGCAAACACATAGTTTTTAATACAAGACTCTTTATATAGAAATTAGGTTTAACAAAAAAAAAATTACAGGTAAACAGGAAACACAGAGAAATAAGCTAAATGGAAAGCTTCTGTGATCTATAGAAATATTCTCCAAATGATCATGGCACCACAGTCGATGGCATTCTACACTCATTATTTTGTTGACGTAAGCCAGCCTGTCCACTGAAAGTGTGTCTTGAAGGCCACCACACAGAAAACGATGTTGGACTCTCTCAGGGACACTTGAAATGCATACATCATAGAGAACATCCTCCACAGTCACTAAAACTAGGGATTGTCCTGCTATTTGAGTTGTTTCTGTTTTGATTTGCACTGTGGAGGACACATGCTTCCCAAAGACACCTTAGTTAAGCACTTTTTTCCAAATGAACGAATCACCAGAATCAATTTTACAAAAGCTATTTTAGGATCCTTTCTTGAATTCAGGAATATTTTTCTTCTTCCCATCACCCTAGCTAAATTTAAAATTGAAAGCGGTATCTTCATCAAACAATTAAGCTGATGGCCTTTTACATTGTCAACATCATTTTCCATCTAATTTGATATTCTCTGGGAAGCTACAAAGCCCATTTAACTAATAAAATGAAGTATCTTTTATATTAGATGGTGTTTGTGATTACCGGCAATATTTGTATGTGCCCTATTAGTTTTTGTTTGTTTGGGTTTAAGTTGCCCTTTAGCTGCAGTATTTGGAAACTGAATAAAATTCTGGGTCCTGCCAGAAGTGTGGACCAGTTTTGATCCCACAGAAAAAGGTTATGGGGCTGGCTTTGGAGTCAGGCATGTTTTTTGTTGTTTTTTTAAGTCCTGTGTCTGCTCCTTATTTGTAGCATTTCCCTAGGGAGTTATCTCGTCTCTTAGATTTTTCATTTATAAAATGCAAGGGTATTCACTTTTAAGACTTAGTATAGAGCTATAGTAATGAAGATAGTGCGGTATTGGCAAAAGGTTAGATACATAGATCAATGGAACAGATCCACACAAATATGGCCAATTGATTGTCAACAGAGTTGCAAAAGCAATTCAATGGAGAAAGGAGAGTCTTTTCAACAGCTAGGGTTGGAATAATTGGACTTCCATATGCAAAGAAAAACAAAACAAAAAAGTGAACCGCAACCCATATCTCATACCTTATAAAAAAAATTAACTCAAAATGAGCCGTGACTTTCTAAATTTTTCATGTCATAACCTAAGACAAGTTAAGCCAGGGCTGCTTGGGAAGGGTAGAATCCTTGTCAATGTAGAAAAAAATCTGGGCTGCCTTATAGGTTCTAATTTATTCCTAGTAATATTAACAAGGAGAATAGCCATTTTAAGGAATAATTTGGGATAGCTTCTAGGAACTAGTCAATCATATAGAATTTAATAGAAAGTAGAGATTTTAAAATTACATGCACAGTTTATATCTACTATATTAAAGAATTTTTTAAATGTTCCAAACTGCTCAGATAATATTATTCTTTGTGGGCTGCTGGTGAAGGGTCTTAGACACTGTTAATATGATCCCTTTGCTATTTACAACTTCATTGAAAATTCTTCCTTATGAATATGTTAAGAGACAGTCATACTTTTTTGAGAGAACTGTTAGTCCCCATACAGGTCAGTCACGTGAGCAGCCAGCAGCAGGTAGCAGTTCTGATTCTGTCTTGGCTGGGTGTGGTTTATTTTTGATTGTGTGGAGCCTGTGCAAGAGCTCTCATGGCGACCCCAGCCTAAATGGTGAATTAATTATATTTCTGGAGAACCTGTGAAGCATTGTTGGAGAAAGTACTGTTGATCTTTAAAAAACAATCAAACACCTTTTTCTGTTTCTGGCACAGAGCTGTGACGGAGAGCATCAATCAGCTTATCACTCTGTGCACCCAACAAGCTCCCGGCCAGAAAGAGTGTGATAACGCCCTCCGGGAGCTCGAGGTAGGTCCCTGGGGAGGCTGCAGAGGACTTGTCAGCGTGTGTCTACGCGTCTATTCTTCCTCTATAGGGTTAGTTTCCTCTCCTCCATCCTTGCCTTTTATCTTTCCTGGGAGACTGTTGAGACCAAAGTTCCAGTTCAAGTAGGAAGGAACTGAAAGTAAATTAGATTTGGTGGGATTATCCTCCTTGCTTTCCCTTTTTCCACTAGGATAAGATTTATTTTGTTAAAGCATTCTTTATTTCAAATGAGAAGAGGCCTATGGTATTGGGTGTAGGCTGAAGATCAGCAACGTCTACCTAAAACATATTTGAGAGGTGATTCTGGGACACTTGGGAGAGAAATAGAGGCTGGGATAAGTGTGCTTTTGAGTAAAAATGATTTCTCCATAAACTTTATTCTGTAACATGCAGGGGAAACAAAAGAGGAAACCCAGGAGTTACACTTATCACTACACAGTCAAGGTGGCTGTAGGGCCCCTAGTGGCCCAGAACACAATGTGGTTGCTTTTCAATTTATATTCATACTCATGTTATTTGTACCAAAGATTCCTGTTTGTCCATAGATCGTATGAGAGTGAGCATCAAATCGATGTGCCTACATGTATGTAAAGCAGTCCTAACCAATGTGGTTCATACTGAAACAGCCTAATGGACACATCAGTTAGCGTGCATTGGTTGCACCCAGTGTACCTCCAGTTTTCTGGATGATTAGCATGGGCCTGGCATGGCGGGAACACCCATTGCTGCTTCTGAAGCATTTGATCGAGGCCCTAAAGATGGCAATGGGCCATTGTGCACAGCTGGGAGTAAGAAGGGAATTATCATCAGAGGACTGAAGCATTCAGAAAACAGCTGAAAATGTTCTTACATTGGCCGAATCACTGCCCTATTCTGGTCTATTCACATTTGCAAATATAAACATGTGGGCTGTTGATCTAAATGAGCTGTTGGCCTAGGTGCCAATACTCTGTCCCTTAATGGTATCCTTGGTTGCCAAAATTATGACTGTTTCAGAATTGCTATTACTAAAACAATTTGGATTATCTGAGGAGGAGGAGGAGGTTCTTCAGTGAAATGAGTTCATTCTTTAAGCTGCTGTCTTTCCCTCACATCTTTAACTGAACAACTCCCGAGTTGCCATTACTCACCACCCCCCAACGCTTTGTAACTCAGATGACTTTGTCTTCTCGTTGGCTGTGCTCCAAAGGTTGCTGAGTCCTAATGTACATTCTCACTCAGCGGGGAGGAGGTTGAAAGGATGCTCCCCAGGCTTGCCTCCCCTGGAAAAGTCCCTCAGAAGTGGTGATCAAAGGTCACTGCAGTGTGAAAGCTAGTGATGATTTTCAGTGGCTTGGAGACAAAGATACAGAACTAAGCCCTGAACCAATTTCATTGATGGGACTTGAACAAGACTGGACATTTTCTGAACTTTTAAATTATAAACAAATGAATCACCCCAATGGGCGGTTTGGGGGAATTGCCTTCTTTCATGCTTTCCCCTTAAAAGTTTCCAGAATTGAAAAACTGAAAACTGAAGGTTCTTACTAGTCTGAAAAATTGAATAAATGGATTCTTGAAATTTAAACTCCTTACAGTTATCCAGCCGAGATTGTGCCAATTGGCCATCGATGTGTTGCTTTGCATGACCTTTCAAAATTCCTTTCAAAATAAAAAAAATAACTCTGCCTTCTTTGCATACCATGTTTCCTCCTTCAAAACTGAAAACAAGAGTTCTCATCTCTGGCAAAGCTAACCTGACATGACCTTTCAAAATTCCTTTCAAAATAAAAAAAATAACTCTGCCTTCTTTGGATACCATGTTTCCTCCTTCAAAACTGAAAACAAGAGTTCTCATCTCTGGCAAAGCTAACCTGAGAGACTGTCCCCTCACCACCACTACCACTATCAGTGTTATGTTGCAAGCAGAAAATCTGAAGTCGTGATACCATGATCTAAACTCCTCTCAAGAATCTGAATAATGAGTGATTGTGACCAGAATCCTGTTACAGAGGTGAAGTTGATAGTTGGCATTTTGTGTTGATTTCTCTTGTCCTATGTTACTTGCTTGCTTTCTCCTTCTATAGACTGTCAAAGGGATGTTGGACAATCCTAATGAACCTGTTAGTGACCTCTCTTACTTTGACTGCATTGAGAGTGTGATGGAAAACTCCAAGGTAAGCCTGTCTGTGCCATAATTCAGAAGTTAACATGGCTTCTGTGCATCTGCCTGTGGCTGCTCTGTATGGCTGGAGGCAGGTATCATAACACCTTGTTGTGGGGACCTGGGCTCTGGTGCCTCTCAGACTTGAGGGTGCATCAGAACCATCTGGAGGGCTTGGTCTACACACATTGCTGGGGCCACCCTCGACTTCCTGATTCAGCAGACCTGACATGGAGCTGAGACTGTGCATTTCTAACAAGCTCGCAGGTCCTGCCCCTGTTGTGCAGGAACCACACTTGGAGAACCACTGCTTATATCAGATCACAGATAGCATATTATTGTGAATCAAATCATGTATTTTCAACACCTGGGGCTGAACCGTCAAGTCCTTCAGTGACCATGGCTTACGTAGGATTCCCTTTTGCCATCCATCCATGGCGTGAATGCTCAAGAGGAGTAAAAGTTTTGTTTTTTTCAGGGGTGGGAGTTGTTGAAAAAAATGTATAAGATAATACAGTGTCTGGTGTTCCTACCTCCATCTTAATCCTATTCAACAAAATCTTATTATTTAGTATTTTATTTGATGGTGGTGGCGATTTGTGGGGGAAAATGTCTAAAAAGGCTCCCTAGTAGAACAATAATGAAAAAAACTGTCGAACACTGATCTGTGGTAATCATATCAATGTCTTTTGAAAATATCTCAGAATCAGAGGTGAAAATGAAATGCAGGTGAGGTGAACGGATGTCAGACTGTTGGCTTTGGGGAAACATCTGTATTGGTGACCTCAAAGGGGCTTGGTTTGGGGCCGGCCCGGTGGCGCACTGCTACAGTGCGCCGCTTGGGAGCACGGTGGCGCTCCCGCCAAGGGTTCGGATCCCACATACAGACCGGTTCCCGCTCACTGGCTGAGCGAGGGGCGGGCGCGGCACCGAGGGTTGCGATCCCGTTGCCGGTCCCGGTCCGGTACAGGCGCGACACTGAGGGTTGCGATCCGTTGCCGGACACGAAAAAAGACAAAAAGGAAGAAAAAAAGGGGGGGGGGGCTTGGTTTGTGTTGAGCCAAGATTAGAATTTCCTGTCCTCTGTCCTTAAAGAGCAGCGTAAGGTTAGGAGGGAAGGGAAAATACTGTACATAAAAATACCCTCTAACTTATTTGCTATGTAAGTCCTTATGTAAACTGTATTATTATGTATATTTAAGCAGTTTTAGGGAATTTATTTCATTTCTCCATCCATGGCAGCTCATTGACAAATGAACAGCTCTGTCAGTTTCTGGACTTGGCAATGCCGTACTCTCTCCAAAGGGCTAAACCTCCTTTTTTCCATCATCAGTGACCCTGGAAAGTATGCCCTGCCCTCTAGTGCTTGCTGGGGTCTGTAGATGATGGAGCACTGCCCACCTCACCACCTGTGTGACCTTGTGCAGGGTGCTTGACCTCTCTGGGTTGGCTTCTGAAAACTAAAATCCCTTTCAAGTGTTATTTTAAAGACCTCTGAAGAAAGAATACAGCATTGATTTTTAAAATAAGGTGAAATACTTAACAAAGATCTATTTAAATTGTACTGTCAGTAAGTAAGTGAATGATTTATCTTCCATACAAGAAAGGTATGTGTTTTGCTTTATGGGTATGACTTCACCCATAGCTCAATGGATGTGTCTTGATTTTTAGGTTCTGGGAACTAATAGTTCTCAGTTTAGATCATTCACCTGTGAGATGCCTTATATAGATTTTAATTTATTGTCTGTGTATATTAACTGTATCTCCTTGGGACATAGGTAACGTTGGGATGAAAGGTTCATACTTTCATTATTCATTTCTCTTTAAGGAACAGAAATGGTACAATTCTCTTGAATTTCTTCTCAATGCAAATAAAGGAGAAAAAGCCAAACGTTATAAATTAAGTGGCCTTGAATGTTAAAGTTAGAAATGTAGCCTCTTTTCCCCCATGGTTTGAAGCAATGCTGGACAAAGAATACCACTGGTTATTTGTTTTGCAGGTTCTGGGTGAGTCAATGGCTGGGATTTCGCAGAACGCCAAGACTGGAGACCTCCCTGCCTTTGGAGAATGTGTGGGGATTGCATCCAAAGCTCTCTGTGGGCTGACGGAGGCCGCAGCCCAGGTAAGGGGCTGGTCCCAATGTGCCCTGTGCCAGATGGTAGATACCAGGAGTGACCAGATTCCTGTGGGAGGCATGGGGGAGCTCCAGCTTCTCGCTTCCAAGTACCACCATAGAAACCATGGGAAGGCAGTGACTCCTGTGCTGGCTGGGGCATTTAGAGAAGACATCAGCCAGGTACCCTTCAGAAGCAGAGCACCCATAGGCCAGGCTGGAGAGGACTGGAGGCCCAGTGAACACTGCAGACCCAGCATACAGGTGCAGAAGACAACTTTTTTTTTTTTTTTTTATGGTCATTGTTTTAGGTGAATTGTTTTGGGGGGAAAATAAGCACTAAATAATTTAGATTTTTGAGGCTTTAGAATTGCAAAAAATGTTAGTTATGCTCTTTTTAGCATCGGGGGAAGAAATTAAACTCCATCATGCAGAGATGTGATATAGCATGTTCCTTGCTCTTCTTTGACTGTCCTGTGCGTTTCCAATAATTATTGGGCTCATGTGACAGAAACTTCAAAGATTTCAGCATTTACTTTGAAGGATTTATCATTTGACAATTACCTTGAACTTAGAAGATTTTACTGAACCAAAGAGAAACATCCGTGATATGAAGGATGAAATTCTCTACCCTCATCTTTCCCCTCAAATCTCAGGGAAAATGAATTAAGGTCAAAATCGCTGCTCACAGTTTCATTTTCTCCGTGTTATTTGGCTATCACATCCAATGGGAATGCAAAGAGAAGATCTTTTGTCTTTTTGGAGACCGAATACTTTCTTTTTTGTTGTTGTTTTCTGAGCCTTCTTACTGTGTTATTTGGCTATCACATCCAATGGGAATGCAAAGAGAAGACCTTTTGTCTTTTTGGAGACCGAATACTTTCTTTTTTGTTGTTGTTTTCTGAGCCTTCTTACTTAGTTACTAGGTTAAGATTCTTCCTGCTATTGGAAATCCTGATCTAAGCAATAAGGACGCATGAAGCTATGAGGCAAGAAACTGTCAGGTGGAGCAGGCTCCAGGGTTGACCGACCCAGGAGCCCAACACCCTCAGTCTGCACCCACTTTTTTCTGCCTGTCCTGTCTGCCAGCCAGAGAGTCAGCTCCCTGCTGAGGCTGGGTTCCCTCATGGCAACAAGAGGGCTGCCAGAAGCAGTAGGGGCTGCATCCATCCTTGTCCCTGCCTTGAAGAAGAGCTCCGTCAAGCTCTCTCTTAAGAACAGGGAGGCTTTGTTCCCAGGAGTCTGCATCAAACTCCTGCTGGCATGTCAAGCTGGCATAGGCCTGTTTGTCGCTACACCTTTAGTGGTGAGAGCGATGAGATTACCCTGACCAGCCTGCAGTAAGCAGCACCTAAACTTGACAGTGACATGGACAGTACAGACCACTGTCCCCCCAGGCTCACCTAGAAGCACAGAGCCTGGGCTGGGGTTTTTCTCCTCCCTCTACAGGCTGCATACCTGGTCGGCATCTCTGATCCAAACAGCCAGGCAGGCCACCAGGGCCTGGTGGACCCTATCCAGTTTGCAAGGGCTAACCAGGCAATCCAGATGGCATGTCAGAACCTGGTGGACCCTGGCAGCAGCCCATCACAGGTAACCACAGGGCGGGGGAGAGGGGTGAGGTTGGCAAGCCTGTAAGCTCCTCTAGGTGGGTTGTGGGAAAGTATGAAGAATTAGTAAAGAATCCTGTTCTTTCAGAGCTGCAAAGCCAGCTTGGATACAGCACAGTAGATAATGGCTGTGGGGGAATGTTGCGAAATGTGGTGAAAGTGGAAATTTGTAGGTGCTTTGAAATGGGGTGCTAGAAGGCAATGAGGTGATCCCAGTGACTCGTGAGGAGTCTCCCGGTTCCTTTCAGTTCAGAGGGCACATGTTGCGGGCTTGTTCTGTGCTCAGCACTACGGGATCAACGTGAGAAAGACCTAGTCTTCACCTCCTTGGCTCCTAGTCTGTTGGGCAATGCTTGGGAAATGCCAGGATCAGAGTATGACGACAGTGCCAGGGATGCACAAAGGAAGGTGTGATGAATTATCTGAGGGGGCTACTGGGTTGCTTCAAAGAGGTGACAGCACTGAACCGGGCCTCCAAGTTGGGTCAGGATCTGCAGCTTAAAAAGGAGCCAGAGAGACCCCTGAGGAACAGACAGTGTGTGTGACATTCAGTGACACTTCTGATACCCCAGGCCAGGTTCCCAGTTACTCATTAAAGCAGTATGTGCTGAAAGGAAGAAGTGGCTGATGTGGAGCAGCAGACGCAGTCTCGAGAGCAGCATGTCTACTGTGAACCCTGGAACTGGCATTTTTGAGGCAGGCGAAGGACCCAAGTGGAGAAGGCAATACAGGGACCATCTGGATCTAAAGCAGCCCTGAAAACTGGAGTGTCAGTGCACCTGTGGTTCCTTACCTGTCCTGTTAAGGCCAAAGGAGTGTTATCAGCCTCAGCAAAGGAGAGGAGGTAGATTCAGGAGAACAAATGAGTTGAGGTTGGCAAGTGGAGTCTGTGGAGGTTCCTGAGCCAGACCCCTTAATAAGGCACCTATAGCCCACCCATGGGTGAGGAGGGAGCTTATGCACCTTGATGATTATTTGACTCATTTGGACCTGGACTCTCCAGTATGGCAGCCACTAACTACCTGTGGCCATTAAGCCCTTAAAATGTAGCTCGTCCTAGGGTGCCTCATTAGCACAGCAAGTAGCACGTCAGTCTCATTAAAATGTAGCTAGTCCAAATAGTCATGGGCTATAAATATAAAATGCACACTGGATTTCAAAGTATTGGAATGAAAAAAAGACTAAAAAATCTCATTCATAGAATTTTTTTAATTGATTATGTGATGAAATGAAATATTTTAACTGTATGAAATAAAATATATTATTTAAATTAATCTCTCTTGGTTTTCTACTTGTTTAAATGTGGCCACTAGAAAATATTAAATTACATATGTCTAGACTTTGGTCTAGACCATAGACTGCTTATCTGGGGCATCCCAAGGCTGGCTGACGCACCCTTTTAAGATTGGGGCCCAGCCCACGCCTGCCACTACATTATCAACTCCCTTCCATTCCTTTTTAAATTTTCTCTTGCTTAGTATTTCTTGCCCTCTCCTTTCTTGGAGTGACTCTGGGGGCAGCAGAGCTAGATATACTAGGAATTACGTGGACTCTGGACATGAGGGTTGAAGAGGAACCCAGGGCTCAGGACCAGGGTGGACCCCTCTGCACTGAAGCATGGGGTGTCCTCAACCTGGTGCTGTGCTTTGCAGGTTCTGTCTGCCGCCACGATTGTTGCCAAACACACCTCGGCCTTGTGCAACGCCTGCCGCATTGCCTCATCCAAGACGGCCAACCCAGTGGCCAAGAGGCACTTTGTCCAGTCAGCCAAGGAAGTTGCCAACAGCACCGCCAACCTGGTGAAGACCATCAAGGTAGGTCACTGGACTACAGGACTTATTAATCCCTGTAACATCTGTTGCAGAGGGGAAAGAGAAACAGAGTGTCAGCTCTGCCCTCCTAAGATTTGTGTCTAGTAAAGCTTAACTTCTAATTCAGTCTTATAATTTATGCACTGAGGAGGAGTCCCTCACTAATGAATACCCTTTTCATGATATACATCATGAGAAAGCAACAACCTTGATCTCTCCCAACCTTCTAGATGGTGGAGCAGGGGACCTCCCCAAATTCTGTACCTGAGGAGCTTAGGGACAGAAGTCTGATTGGAAGGGTTGGTTATGGGGCTTCTCTTGCACTGTGCTTGGGTAGCAAACACTCTGTGTTTACTTAAACTGTATGAGCATGTTTACTTGAGTGATTTTGAGTGTGTTGGTAGAGCACTCTGCCATTGTTGCTAGATGTATCTGGGCCAAGAGAATAGGTGGAGGGAGGAGAGAATGGGAAATTGTGAAAAAATCACTTTACTCTCTCCTGTGATGTCTATTCTGTTTGCAGCCATTTAAAAATTTTTAATGACATGTTAACTTTTTAAAATAGAGCATTTTGTATTCATAATAAGTTCATCTCTTTGTTAAAGTCCATGGGCAGGGTTCCTTTGCAAGGAGGGAATCGGAACAGTTGTAGTGTTCGTAGGTGGGTGATAAAGCCACAAACACAGTCTGCCCTCCGCTGGGACCACGCAGGCAGCAGCAGCTGACCTTGTGGGAAAACACCCACAGCCTGGACAACAGACTGCAGCCAAAAAGCCCAGCAGCCCTCCCCCTGCCAGCCTTCAAAGGAGCATTGTCCTGTGTAAACCCAACACACTGCAGGGCAAGCGTCAGAGGCGTCAACACCTTTCATTTAAGGGTTTTCATATTCATTCAGGTAGGAGGATCTGCCTTGTTGCTGGGACAAGTCCTGGAGTATTGGACTTTTCCTGGTTCTCTCCAGAGGATAGGACACGACACACCTCATTTTCCTTCCATAACAAAAAGCCCATATAACTGCATGGAGAAATCAGTGTGATGAGCCAAGCAGAGACAAAGGGAGAGAACACCCAGCCTAGCAGCAGCTGGAAGCCGGCTGGCAAGAGCGCAGGCAGTTACCCCTGTCAGCAGGTTCTTAGCTGTTGCAACAAAGAGTCTTTTAAAAAATGAACAAACAAAAAATTGGTGCCTCTTTGGAGGCAGTAATAAGCTAGTTTAAAAATGAATAAATAAAACCAGTGCCCAGGTGCTGTATGATCCCAGTGGCAGCTCACCTCCATTGCCATCATAGTTCGTGGTATTAGCAATTAATAAAGCGTACATTTTTAAATGTTTATTTTGTGCTTTGTGTATTTCAGGGTACGAGGCAGTAATAAGCTAGTTTAAAAATGAATAAATAAAACCAGTGCCCAGGTGCTGCATGATCCCAGTGGCAGCTCACCTCCATTGCCATCATAGTTCATGGTGTTAGCAATTAATAAAGCGTACATTTTTAAATGTTTATTTTGTGCTTTGTGTATTTCAGGGTACTTCAAATAGTTCGTGGAAAAGTAGAATTAAAAGATAATATGAATCTTTCCATGAACCTTTTGAAGACCCTGCATATTGCTCGTTCAGTCCACACAACCACCCCGTGCTTATTATTCCCATTTTACAGATGGGAAACTGAGGCACAAAGAGGTTAAGTAACCTTCCCACAGTGACCCAGCCAATTAAATAGTGGGTCAGAATTCACACCCAGGCTCCAGACCCTCTGGCCTCACTCCTGGCATATTATCTGACTCTGGGATGGAGAGACTAATTCATCCCTCCAGCCTGGGAAGAAAGACCTTGCTGTGTGTAC